AATCACTTTGATACCCAAGCCACACAAAGATACAAGTAAAAAAAGAGAACTACAGACCAATATCCCTCATGAACATCGAATGCAAGAACACATCAGAAAAATCATCCACTATGATCAAGTAGGCTTCATTCCAGGGATGCAAGGATGGTACAACATACGAAAATCCATCAATGTAATCCAGCATATATACAAACTGAAAAAGAAAATCCATATGATCATCTCACTAGATTCTGACAAAATCCAACATCCCTTCATGATAAAGATCTTGGAGAGAACATGAATAGGAACATATCTAAACACAATAAAAGCAATATACACCAAACCAACAGCCAACATCAAACTAAATGGAGAGAAACTCAGCAAAGTAGCAGAATACAAAATTAACTAAAAAAAATCAGTAGCCCTACTATATACAAATGATAAATGCAATGAGAAAGAAATCAGAGAAACATCACCCTTCACAATATCCACAAGCAATATAAAATATCTTGGGGTAACTCTAACCAAAAAAGTGAAAGACCTGTACAGTAAGAACTTTGAGTCTTTAAAGAAAGAAGTTAAAGAAGATACCAGAACATGGAAAGATCTCCCATGCTCTTGGATAGGTAGAATCAACATAGAAAAAATGGCAATCTTGCCAAAAGGAATCTGCAAAAGATTCAACACAATCCCCGTCAAAATCCCAACACAGTTCTTCACAGACCTTGAAAGAACAATACTCAACTTTATATGGAAAAACAAAAACCCAGGATAGCCAAAACAACTCTGTACAATAAAGCGTCTACTGGAGGCATCACCATCCTTAACTTCAAGCTCTATTATAGAGCCATAGTTCTGAAAACAGCTTGGTATTCCAAAAAATAGACACACAGACCAACAGAATCAAATTGAAAACCCTGATATTAACCCACACACCTACGAACACCTGATTTTTGACAAAGATGCTAAATCTATACAATGGAAAAAAGATAGAACTGGATTCGGACATGCAGATCCATATCTGTCACCATGCACAAAACTTAAGTGCAAATGGATCAAAGACCTCAACATAAATCCAGCCACTCTGAATCTTCTAGGAGAGAAAGTGGGAGATACCCTTGAATGAATTGGCACAGGAGACCACTTCCTGAACATTACACCGGTATCACAGACATTGAGAACTGCAATTAATAAATGGGACCTCCTGAACCTGAGAAGCTTCTGTAAGGAAAGGACATAGTCAGTAAGACAAAACGACAGCCCGCAGAATGGGAAAAGATCTTCACCAACCCTACATCTGACAGAGGGCTGATTTCCAAACTATACAATGAACTCAAGAAGATATCCACCTAAAAAGTGGGGTGCAGAACTAAATTGAGAATTCTCAACAGAGGAATCTGAAATGGCTGAAAGACACTTAAGAAAGTGCTCAAAATCCTTGACTATCAGAGAAATGCAACTCAAAACAACTCTGAGATACCATCTTACACCAGCCAGAATGGCTGAAATCAAGTTCAACCATGTTCATAGCAGCATTGTTTGTAATAGCCAGAACCTGGAAGCAACCTAGATGCCCCTCAACTGAAGAATTTGTCCAACTTAATAATTGTAAATGGGTTAAATCAGATCTCCATGCCCTTATATCTGTAAGAGAATGGCAGGACCAGCACTTGGAATCTGGAAACCTCCAGATCAGACTTGGAACTGCATTGCTCTGCATTCGAATTTCAAAACAGGGAAAAATCAAGTGTTACCAAAACAGAAAGATCTTACTTTCCCCTAGAGTCCTGAAAAATCGATTAGGAAGGAGGTGACTGCAGTGGGTTGGTGCATGGGACTAATTACCTTGGACAGTGATGTATGTGCCTGTGGTGTGCTCCTTGGACATGTCTTTATGAAGGATGGATGCCACTGGTGCCCTGCATTCTCTGTCATTGTAGAGACTGAAGATGAGCCAGAAGCAAACCTAACCTCTTAGTACTCACATTCTTCCTCTGTGTGGGCATCACTGTTGAAAGGTAAAGTTATATTCCCCCTTTGATTGGTTGCTGATCTCACTCCTTGCCCTCCTGGTTTGACTCACCTTGAAGACTTGTGTCTGTCATGGTTTCAGCAGACCTGGGATAGTAGATGGCAGAGGTGGAGAAAGATGTTTGGACATTCGTTGGCTGAATCTCCTTTAGCACCATCACCATCTCTGGTTGCAGGGTAGAGGCCTGGCTCCCAGGGTAGGACACAGAGCCATAGGCCTGCAGGCACTGCAGGAGTTCTCCAGCCATCACAGGGCCCAAGCTGTTGTGGTCATAGTAATATACCTGGTTGCCCTCCTGGTAGGAAGGTGCCAGGCTGTCTCCTTGATTTGAAACCTGTGGTGGTGTGCCCTGGATAAGGCTGGCAGACAATGTTGGGTAGAAAGGGACTAAGGCATTGGGATCTAAAATGTTATCACACTGGGCTGTCATAGATAGGGAAGAGAGTGTGGTATTCTGGTCAATAATAGTTACAGTGAAGTCCCGGAATGCAGCTTCCCTCCTGTCAGTGCTTCCTGTGAGATCCCACGGGAGAGCATCTGGATAGGAGAGTGCCGAGGTAGAGATCTGGCTCTGGTCAGTCAGTGTAGTCAGCATGGTCGTGCCTGCTCTTTGGTAAAGGGAGTCACTGTCCATGAGCTGCTGGCAACAAGTGCTGGGGTCTGATGGCAGGAGCCATGCAGAACTCACAGCTGGGGTGGAGACCCTGGAAAAGTTGCACACACTTCCTGCTGACGGTGTGGAATTCCTCAGCACAGGCACAGAGGGCCTCAGAGCACATTCTGTCCCATAGAATGGTGCACTTTGGAAATTATCTGTGGGAAGAAAGAGAACAGTGGGAAAATGGTGAGATGGAAACTTCATAGCTTCCTGTGAAGAGCTGTGTTATCTCCAGTTTGTCCGGTCTGGGAGAGTCTGTAACCCATGTTCCCTCACATATCCCAAACAAAAGGATTCAGAATGCTTCTTGGTACTGGATAGGATGGCACTCATTAGATGAGCTGCCTGTCATTCCTGTTTGGGCATAGAAGTCCTAGATGCTCCGTTTTAACCCTTGCTCTGATCTAGACAGCACTGTTTTTTGCCCCCCTGTGCCTGCTGTGACACTCCCTAGCATCTGTGTCCCAGATCAGATGTGTATCCAGATAGGAGAACCTTAGACATCCTCTCATACCTTGCCTGCACAGATAACAGATAACCCTGTTCTGTGCATATCTTACTCTGCTAAGTGAGCTAGAGAGCAGTCTGGCCTCGAGTTCCACACATCAGCCTACCTCTGCCTCCAGAGTGCTAGTGTCCTAGGTACTTGCCATGTCCACCAGGCTTGTCTCTACTCTGAGCCTCCTTCATGCTATGCTTCATGTTATGATGTATCTAGAATTTCATAGAGAATTACTGTAGTCAGCTAATATTCCCTTCCTCTTCTAGCTCCTCCTGTTGCCCTCCCAATCTTTGTATCATCTGTGACCGCTTATTATTTTTGCAGCCATTAGTCACATGAATACAACCTGCTGATAAAGTTTCTTGTTGTTGGCACTTGTTTTGTGTGACCTCAAGATTGCTAATATATTATATAGTTCATCTCTGAATATGATTGATTGTTCCTCAGTAACTTTTAATTTCCTAGAAAACTAAAGGAGAATTCTCCTGAGAATTTCCCCCACACATAACATATCAGTTGGTGTTGTTCAGAAAACAACTGACTGTGGAGTGGCCAGTGCCAGCTGATAATATCCTACATGAACAGTAACATAAGACATGAGGAATGCTGCAGAATGCTGGATAGATTGTAAGAGCCAGGGACCAGAGGAAGGTATTGTTTCCTATATATGACAGAAAACATTTACCTGGACTAATTTCAACATTGGGTTGCCTAAACAAGGTTTTGGGAAATGGCAGTGCCTTGTGCCTTTTGATTTAAAAAATCTGGTTTTCTGCAACATTCTGTTTCAAACTACCTTTGTGTAATTCCAGGTTCATCTCTGCAGTTTCCCTTCTTTTATTTGAGTATTTTCTTCCCCGTCATCTTTATACTTTGTTCTTTTCCTCTCCCCAGTTCCTTTTAATGGAACAGCCTTAATATTTCTTCCACTACAATAACTGCCTTCTCAAAGTCCACAGCCCTCTTAGTCTCTCCCACATTCTTTTTTACATAGGAAAGACAAACTCAAAAACATGGCAGTCACTGTGTGTGTGTGTGTGTGTGTGTGTGTGTGTGTGTGTGTGTGTGTGTGTGGAGAGAGAGAGAGAGAGAGAGAGAGAGAGAGAGAGAGGCACTGTAGACATTAGAATTGAAATGACATTCATGCCATCAAGCTCTACATGCTGTGATTACAGGTGTGTGCCACCATAGCTAGTGTGAAAATTACATTTAGAACAGTTTGAAAGAATTTGGTACAATAAGGGGAAATGGTAGTGGAGAGAAACTTTCCCGGTGATGCTATGGAGTGCTAGATACCTTGTTAGTGTTCCTGTTTCTTTTGAGTTTAACATTCTCAAGAAGAGTTGAAATTATTCCTTGTTCACTTACCTCTTAATTGAGACAGTAAAGACCCCAGAACATAGTGACACTGTTATCTCCCTGAGGTGGATGGAAACACTTGAGAGTAAACTGTTTGTCCAAACTCACATACCTAATATGAACTAAAGTTAAATGTGACATTCACCTCAAGATGTCTACATCAGCATCAATAGTATTCCCATTCATGAAAGATTTAAATGTATAGTAAAAATAAGGGGAGGAGTGATCAAAAGACATGTCTTAAAGTTTCTTTTCTTACCTGACATGGTCAGGGGGAGAGTATCATCAACCCACAGTACAATGAATCAAGAAAATATCGGTTGTCCTTGTCTGATCAGCAGATCTCAGAGGCAAGTGTGTCCAGTATGAGACAGCACTCACTGGTCACTGGTCACAGGTGACCTGTGATGATCCAAATTTGTTTACAGGTTATCTCCCTGGAAACACCAAGATTCTACCAGATGTTGGTAGGGTTGGAGAAAGAATGATGTCATAAATCAGTCAGTAGCCAATGGGAAGGTCTGATTCTGAGCTAAAAGATGAAAGTGGGTGGAGCAGATGTCAGTAGACCAACAGTAGCCATGGAGGCTTGGCTGTGGGCTAGTGAAAGGAGGTAATCATGGCATGGAAATCCTACTTCTAGTGACAGTTAGCCTGGGCTACCAAGGCAGTACTTCTTATAAGGTTAACTGATGTGTTAATATCCATATCATCTGTCACATTCCAACATAAAGTATCCCATCAGCATACACTGTAATACAGTCAGTACCTTGGCAGGAAGGAAAGGAACACTCAGGTTGAAGGAACTCAGGTGATAATCCATTTCTGCTGATCTTATTTATGAGCTGTCAGCATCTGTCCATTATCCAAGGAAGAGATCAAAGACTCCCTGGTGACTGTGCTGAAGGACAGTACTGAGTTCATTGAGTGCACCTTGGATGATGAACTCCAAGACTCTTTTCTTTGGTTTCTTCTTTTAGAGTCCTTCCTTAGTCTGTGCTATCCCAGGCTGGACTCACACTTCTTTCCTCTGCTTTTCATCCCTTTTTGTAGGATTTCATTCTTGGACCAGCATGACCATGCATCCTTATACTCGTGGATGATAACACTAAACTTCGAGAAGACATGGTCTTCTGTTCATCGTGAAGATGCTTGTAATTGGATGCTGATAGCAGAAGCAAGAATCCAAAGGCTGATGGTGAGTCTGGCTGCACCCTCTTTCAAACGTTTGCTGTTCTGCTGCTGCCCAGACTCGGCTACCTCTGGATGTTTTCTCTCTTCCTCATCTTTTGTTTTCCTGAGATAGGCTTGTGTCTGTAGCTCCTGTTCTGGAACTCATTGTGATTCACACTCTTTTTTTCTTTCCTCCCTTCTTATAAAGGTTGTGATCCAGTGAGTCTGGCTGCTTTGTCTATTTATCTACATGTACAATGAGTTTGACAGTTACTGAAACTTCTTCCTCCTTGCAACAGACTCTGTAGAATCCTGGGCTTCTAGTGTTATCTGCTATGCTTGGAACTAAGACCAAGCTAAATAGAGAGCAGAACAACAGGATGGGGAAGGCATTCATGGGTGTAGGGAGTGATAATGTAGAAAAGAAGACATTCATGTGACTTTTTTATTTCTGTGAGAAATAATTCAACATAGTTTTGCCTCATTTTATTGTAAGAGAACAGATAATTCAATACTTTATATGTTGTAAATGTTTCACACTGAAGAAAAAAATCTTAAATTATTTTGTCATTTTTCTATGTAACAAATATTTCATTTACATCACCATGCATTAGTATGTTTGTAGACTATGAATCATATTTTGTGTTATATATATAT